TATAAAGACTGTTTTTCTGTACAATATTCAACATAAATTTCATTTCTTAGGATTACTCTAACCAGTGAATTTATTTTAGTCTGAAGGGCCTTTATAATTTAATCTGTTTTGTTATTTGTTACAAAGTAGAACATACATAATGGCCCATATATCCTGTTAATTTTTAGTTACAGTTTTATTCTTGTAGCACTTTTATTCATGATGAAGAGTATAAATATAAGAAATGTTCATATTGTGTGATTTCAAGACTGACATTGCTTGGTGTTTCTTTTAACATGCTTAGTCTCTTTGTTAAATAACACATAGAGATGTTTCTGGTGACCTCCCCTTTGGAAAAGCAGTTTTCACCTGTTGGGCATATGACTCTGTACCTGACAAGAGATATTTGGTAATCTCAGTTCAGAATCTGTGAAGGGAAAATTCAAGCCAAGTCTCAGACTGATCAATAACAATTTCATATGATGAGAGTTTATAGGTATTTTAAGGTTAGAGTACATTGTCATTATCATTAGCGATAATTGCAGAAATTTAGGCTAAGGAATATGAAGGCTTTTGAAGGTACAGTGTATTATGTTTTTAAAAATTTTCTGTATCTATGATGTTTTGGCATCTTAATAACTTGCTGACCCAGGGAAACTGTCCCTTCCAAGACTAGCCAGTTTCTGCAAATAGCAAAGGGCTCACCCAGCCTGGAGCACTTCTTTGATTTTCTAACCAAATATTCCTGCTGCCCAAAACCTCCTTACCTAAGTCTTACCATCAAGCCAGTGTGTCTTCTACCCTATATCATCCCAGGGTCAGACGCCAGACAACTAGAGACCAACCCCTAAAGCCTGCTGGAATTATTCAAACTAGCCAGTTGGAAACTGTTTATTCTGCCCTGCCTTGCCTTTCCCTTGGAAACCTCAATAGAGGCTGTTGACCCAGGCTTTCCCCTTGATCCTGTTTCTCCCTCCTGACTGACACTGGCACTCTGCTGTGGCCCTGTGTGGCATGTGGTGACTCCTCTCTGGGACCTATGATTGTAATAAATTTCTTTTTTCCAAGCCTTGTTCTCATTTCCTCCTGTGGCTGCACCAATTTTCCCACACCACATCCAACACTTACATTCATAGAACACATAGAAAGTTTTGAATCTAAAACAGTTCACTTGTTTTTTCTTCCCAGAGCTTTGAAGACAATGTGAACTGTGAAACTTGTTTTTAATGGGAGTATCTTGCATAGTTTCAACATTATACTGGGAAATAAGTTCCCAAGGTTGGCGGGGGGGAAGAACCCCTACACATTTCAATCAAGATATTAGTTCTTTCACAAAGGAAAGTTTAATACAAAAAGAATATATATTAACTTCTTAAAAAATATCAAATGCCTTCAAGTAGCTGAATTAATTCATTATAAATGTCTAAATGCTCTGAGGGAGGGTCCCAAATCAAGTATGAACTTTATAGATAAGGCAAGCTCTGGTGCCTGTTGAATCTCTTGGAGAGAATCTTTATTAAAAAATATATAGACAAGTTCTTCTTGCTATTTCAGTTTATTCTTTGCTATGTAAGTTTCAGGGCTTGGTGATGCCACACAACATATGGCAATCTAATTTAGGTCAGCCCAGACTCCAGGATAGGGAAAAAGAATGTCCCTCTTATGACCAGAGTGACAAAAGGGAAGGAATCGATAGTGCATCTGTGACCTCACACCAATCATACTTGTAAATCGCAGTCCAAGTAGAAGATGACACAAGGCTTTGGGATCTAGGAGATTCAGGGTTGGCAAGCTTTCAAAAGCAGGAGTACTGAGCACTGGCTTTCTTTCAGTGGTAAAAATGTGGTCACCGGCTGAGCCAACTGGCTAACTTTCCAGAGCATGATCAGAGTGAAAGCTGTTGCTGATTAGCCAATCAGAAATATGGAGCTGTCAGATTGGGCAACCTTCATAAGCATGTATAGTGATGAGTGTCTCTAATTAATTGCTGCCAATGTCTGATCAGTTGTCTCTGACCAAATTTGATGGTTACTAATTTATGGTTTGAAACTATGGTCAAAAAACAGTCTTAGGCTTGAATTTGGAGAATAGGAACTTCATTGAATGATTGAATAGGAGTTGTCTCATCGGCTACAGTATTATTTTCTTTCTTTTCTTTTTTTTATTTGAAGTCTCACTCTGTCACCCAGGCTGGAGTGTAGTGGCACACTCATGGCCACCACAACCTCGACCTGCTGGGCTTACCTTTCACGTAGCTGCAACTATAGGCACAACCATGCCTGGTTTATTTTTTTAAATTTAATTTTAATTTAATTTTTAAAAATTTATTGTAGAGACGAGGTCTCATCAAGTTGGCTAGGCTGGTCTTGAACCCCTGAGCTCAGGCAATTCTCTCGCCGTGACCTCCCAAAGTGCTGGGAGGTCCCAAAGGCTTGAGTCACTGTGCCTGGCCTAGAGTATTATTTTTTAAAGTATTCTTGTTAGTACAGACTTCCCCCCTCCTTTTTTAGAGACAGTGTCTCACTCTGTCATCCAAGCTGGAGTGCATTGGCATGATCATGGTTCACTACATCCTTGAACTTCTTGGCTCAAACAATCCTCCTATCTCGGTCTCCCAAGTAGCTAAGACTACAGGTGTGCGCCACCACATCCAACTAAATTTTTTTTTTTTTGTAGAGATGGAATCTCACCATACTGTCCAGACATATCAAATTCTTGGCTTCAAGTGGTCCTCCCACCTCAGCCTCCCAAAGAGCTGGGATTACAGCATGAGCCACTGTACCTGGTTTTATTTGTAATAAAGGATTTGTCAGTTATTGGACTGTCCATAGAAAGTACTAATTAATTTTTATTTAATTTTTGACTGAGAAGACTGAGGAACTTACAACTGCCTTTTCTTTCGCAGCAGGTTAAAATAAATAAGCACCCTAAAGGAATATATCTATAGACAGATGTTACCTCAAGTCTCCATCAAAATGGTACGCTCATGTCAGAGATGAGAAAAATGAGACATTGGTAAAATATTTTTCCATATAGTATTCAGAAATTGTAACATGTAAGTACAAAGTATACCTTCTTAAGATATAAGTAATCACTAAATATCACATTAGGTGTTGAGCAGTGCTAAACATCAGAGCATCAGAATGAGTCATGTTTCAGAAGGTGAACATCAGTGAAAGTCTTTTTATTAGGAAGGAGAAGCAAGGTGCTGGCAGGGATTGGATTGTAGCAGCATTTGAGAATTATACGAAGTGCAGGCAATACAATAATTGTATGGGTTACTAATAATGTAGCTGGTGGAAATGGACATTGTAAATTTTTTGTTATTGGGTTATGTTAGTTAAATGTGACATAATGATGGTAGCTTATGGGATAGTGAGAAAATTATAAAATGACATAGGGAGAACTGACCATTGACTTGGAAGAAAATAAAGGAATACTTTGGGGAGGGTTCAATGAACAATTCAATTTAGTTTAGACAGTATTTATTTAATATATTTACTGCTACATTCTATCAAGAAATTTCTTGTTTTGATGTTGTGACAATTCAGCAAGTAAAAAAACATATTTCTTTGAAAAACAATATTTCCAAGCTTAGGCTTTTAACATATAAATATAATACACAAAATAAATATACTGCAAAAAAATCACCCACCCAGAAATTGCTGTTAGCATCATTTCTGAAACACATAACATTTATAAAAATGTAGCCTTACATTGGTTGTGAGGTTTTCAGCTCTCAACAACAGAAAAACTCATTTTGTAAAGTGCCTTATCTTAGGCTCTGTGGGCCACATGGTGTTTGCCACAACTATTCGACTCTGCTGGAATAGTGTGAAGACAGCCACAGGCAAAACAGAAACAAATGGTTTTTGTTTGTATTAGTGTTCTAAAAACTTTATTTATAGACACTGAAATTTAAATATGTCATTTTCAAGTGTCACAAAATAGTCTTTGATTTTTTTTTTACAACCATTTAGAAATATAAAACCCTTCTCAGCTTGCAGGCTACAAAAATGGGCAGTGGGCCAGATCTGTCCGATGGGCTGTTGTTTGCCAACTCCTGACTTAGCCTAATCAAGATCTGTCCCTGAATCACTTGCAGGAAAATGAGCAACCAAACCAAATCAAGGCACTGGCAGCAAGAAGTGGGGGATGAATATTGGGTAGCCAATCCCCCTGCTTTTGTTTTACTGTGTAATTCACAAAATACAAATTATAATGACAATAATCTTTAACACACAGCTCTTCTTGTGTCTTAGACACTGTTCTAAGTGCTTTAAAAATATTAACTCATTCAGATCTCAAAGCAATCCTAACATGTTACTATCACTAACTACTCTTTTATAGAAAAGGAACTGAGGCACAAAGAGGTTAAGTGGCATGCTCAGGTTGGAATTGGACCCAGGCAGCAAGAGTCCAGAATCCACACCCTTAACTATGCCATGTTGCTTCTACTAGGAAGAAAAAGGCAGTGAAGAACATTTAGAACTCAGACAAATACAATACAGACAGTTCTGCAGCCTGCTAAAACAACAACAGTAAGATAAATAGTATTTTTCACATAGCACTATTTGCTTTCATTGTATAGACTGGAACAAATATTACTGTTTTTGGCTGCTTTAAAAACAGCTCAGGCTCTTCAATAAGTAATGTCTCCTTAATGCAAAGTTTGGCTGACAGTTAAACTTTTCACAAAAACATGTTAGCTTCTTTTTGGAGGCTTGGCTTGGTAATGACGTCTATATCCATTTACAAATGCCAGGAAATAGGAGAAAAACATACATTATAATTTAATTTTTTTTGAGTTGGGGTCTCACTCTGTCACACAGGCTGGAGTGCAGTGGCACTATCATGGCTCACCTCAGCCTTGATCTCCTGGGCTCAGGCAGTCCTCTCGCCTTGGCCTCCCAAATAGCTGGGACTATAGGTGTGTGCCACCATGCCCAGATAATTTTGTTTTTGTTTTTTGTAGAGATGTGGTCTCACTGTGTTGCCCAGGCTGGTCTCAAACTTCTAGGCTCAAGCAGTCCTCTTGCCTTGGCGTCCTAAAGTGCTGGGATTACAGGCAAGAGCCACCACATCCGATGTGCATTATAATTTACAAAGAATATTACACTTAACAATACATACATACATGAATAAGAGTCACTGCTGAGACTTAATGTAAGGCATCTTCATACACATAATATTGAACTAAGGTTATATATTTCCCAATGTACAATTATGGATGAGTTTCTCATGCATGTCAAACATCCACGAGTTATATTTTGTAGTACACTGAATACACATAAAGTCCTACATACTAAAAGATGTTTCATGTGTGTTTAACGATGTTGCATGTTTATTTTATTTGTGCTTATTTATGCTTTTTAAAAGCTTCACAGACACGTGCAGGTTTCATTTTTTAAAAAAACGACCTGCAACATGATTTCTAATGTAAGTGTTTCCCTCAGTACAAATTCTTTGAATTTCTGTTAAAAATCTTTCAAATATTTAAAATATTTATCCAAGTACCAATGATCTGACATTAAATTAAATATCAATTCTTGATAAAGGCATCTATACTTTCCACTGTCTTTGCAGTTATTCCTTTGAATTCTCTAATATATGAGTTTCACTTTTGTAAAGAGATTTCCACATCCTCAGGATACTCACAGGAGCTTCTCTTTTGTGAGCTTTTAGTTGTCTAGACCTGGCTGCCCTAACGTAAAATTTCTTGACATTAATTTTACTTACACGATTTCTCTCCCAAGTGGTTTCTATGAAGTAAAAGAAAGTATGACTTTTGAAGGGTTTTCCTCATGTTTTAGAATTTGTGTGATTTCCACATTAGACTTCTTACATTGTGGATTCCTACATTGTGGATTCTTACATTGTCTGATATTTACTAAAGTCTTATGGTAAAAATTTCTCCCTAATAAATTTACAGAATTTCTATGTATTTGCTGATATAATGTGCAGAAAGACTGTAGCTGAAATTTTCCCATAGCAATGATAGTCATGAGGTTTCTTTCTTGTGTGAATTCTCTGATTATTTTGAAGGACGAATTCAGACAGAAGGATTGTTCAACTCACTATTTATCAGCTTTTCCCTTCTTTATGTGTGTCTTCTGATGTGCAGTAAGTTGTGACTTCTGGATAAAGGTTTCCCCACACTCCTGACACTCATAGGGTTTCTCTCCTGTGTGTTTTCTCTGATGTATGACAAAATGTGACTTCTGAGAAAAGGACTTCCCACATTCCTTGCATTCATAAGGTTTCTCTCCTGTGTGGGTTCTTTGATGTAATCTGAGAACTGAATTCACAGAGAAAGATTTACCACATTCTGTACATTCATAGGGCTTCTCCCCTGTGTGTTTTCTCTGATGTTTAGTGAGATCTGATTTATAGAAAAAGTTCTTCCCACATTTATTACATTCAAAGGGTTTCTCCCCTGTGTGAGTTCTCTGATGTACTGTGAGGGCTGATTTTTGGTAGAAGCATTTCCCACATTCCTTACATTCATAAGGTTTCTCTCCCGTGTGTGTTCTCTGATGGGTTTTGAGGTGTGAATTCCTAGAGAATAATTTCCCACATTCCTTACATTTATAGGGTTTCTCCCCTGTATGTGTTCTCTGATGTACTGTAAGGTGTGACTTCTGGGAAAAGGCTTTCCCACATTCCTTACACTCATAGGGTTTCTCCCCTGTGTGTGTTTTCTGATGTACCATGAGGTATGCCTTCACATAAAAGAACTTCCCACATTCAGTACATTCAAAGGGTTTCTCCCCTGTGTGTGTTTTCTGATGTTCTATGAGATGTGGCTTCTGGTAGAAGGATTTCTCACACTGATTACATTCGTAGGGTTTCTCTCCTGCATGGGTTCTCAAATGTCTACTAAGAGATGACAGGTGGTAAAAAATTTTTTTACATTCTTTACACTCATAGGTTTTCTCTCTGGTATGAATTTTCTGATGTATTGTGAGCTCTTCATTTTTAGAGAAAGATTTTCCACATTTATCACAGTTATAGGATTTGTTATTTGAATGAGTGTGCAGATGTACTACGAGGGCAGGCTTCTGGCAGAAGAACTTTCCACATTCCTTACATTCATAGGTTTTCTCTCCGGTATGAGTTTTCTGATGTTTGTTGAGTTCTCCACTCCTAGATAGAAAGTTTCAGATTTATTAATATATGACTTTTTCTTTTCTGAGGGCTGATTTCTTGAGATGTTCCTGTATTTACTAGATTCAAAGGGCTTCTCCACTGTGAGCATTCTCTGACCTACCCTGGAGTTTAATATTTGATAGAGTGAAACTTCCTTTGCCTTATATTCACAAGCCTCTTAACTGCCTGTACTGTTTTGTGTTCTAATGCCTCCCTTATTATATAATTCAGAAGAATCAAAAGACTACTTCAAAGTTAGAATCTCTTGACCCTGAATAACGTCTCCATGAAAAAAGGTCATTCCTATTTGGATTACATTCTTTGGAATTTGCTCTGGTGTTAGTTTTCTCATAGTTAGTAAAAAATAGTGCTCTCCCATTTCCAGTAACCTCTTCAAGACTTTTTCTTACAAAACTATATTAAGTATTAATTCTTGAACTTGCCTTGAATTTCCAGCTTGGCTTTCCTGGTATCCTGCTTCTAGGTCATGAATATCCCATAGGTCTTCTACAAAGGAATCCAAAATGTAATACTTTATAAATCTTAATACATTATTAATACATTATTGTCATTGACTTGAAGCCTAAGAATCATCCCTATGACAATCTCTCAAAATGAAAGAAGTCTCAAATGCAAACTTCCTCTATCCCATTGTTTTGGAAGAAAAACTGTAACAGACACTAAAAAATTTGGTAGCAAACAGGGAAGGAACATGATTATAAACTCAAGTACTTTTACAGATATGATCTTAAAAACTTGGAGGAGAAAGTTAAGACAAAAAACAGAGAACAAGGAGCAGAGAACAAAAGACATTCAAAGTGTTACTGAATGGAAATATGGGAATCATAAAGAATGCTGTGAATCCCTTAAGGGCAATGAACAGTAAGATAAGAAAAACAGTGAACAACCCTGTTCATTGGAAATATCAGGGAACAGATTAAGTTGGATGAAGGAGTTAAAGTACAGGTCTTTATCCCGCTCAAACCTAGATCACTGTGTTAGGAGCTCTTGTAGTTAGCAGACAATTAACTTCTACCTTATTTCTCACTTATCCATCCACAATAATCTAGATGTCAATACTAAAGCGACTTTCTCAGAACATTAAATTCCTCATGTATAGAGGAATAGTAATATAGCTTGGGCGTTGACTCTCCATGTAGTTGGTTTTATTTTTACTGGGACGGGAAGACCCAGGAACACATATATCCAAAAGGGAGGATTTTTTTTAAAAGCAGAGGGTAAGCCATTTATACAAGGATGAATTCCCAGTTGTAGCACCAGAGATTTTCAATTCTGAACTTATCCTGACCACCAAATCTTGCATTTCCAAAGCACTGTCACTCATGACTCAACACTAGTCTCAAATTCTGCTTTCATTTCTTGTCTCCTACAGTTCTGCTTCCAATTTACATGATCTTTAAAGATTAGATAACTCAGTATCATTCTAGAACCTTTTCTGACATTCATATTTATTCATCTTTAAATGCAAAAAAAGCAGGTGAAAGATTATAAGCAGAGGCCTGGAGCTGGAATTTCCTGGCATTTGTGGGGAATACATAAAAAAAGTAATTTGATAGGGACTTGTGCAAAGTTAACAGGGATACACATGAAATAAGATCCTGTGTAAGGAAAACATTTAAGAGACTAGTAAAATGGAGATGAATATGTGTTTTGGGACCACAAGTACAAATAAGTTGCAGTAAGCAAGAGAGGGCAAGATTAGTTATTGACAAAAAAATTAATTTAAATGTATATTGTAACAGTGAGTCGGTGTAAGTATACCATGGCAGGCTAGTGGCAACTATATATACATTTGTACATTACATAACACTATGAAAATTTAAATCAAGAATTTGTTTTTGTCTGTAAGAAGGGAGTGGGATCCATGGAACTACCCTGTAAGAAACTAAAATATAATACCAGAATACAAATAGGACAAAGATGCTGGAGAGGTCAATTTTAGGAGTTCTTAGCATAAAAACCAATACTTTGGGTCTTGTGAATGGATGAGCTCTTGCAGTAGTTACTATAAAGGTCATTGAGCAGAAGGTGGAATGCATCTGTGAAACTCATTCTTTCAACAAATACCTAGTGAGCTGCTAATATGCACCAGCCATTGCACCTGATCCTGGCAATACAACAGCACACAAGTCAGAAAATACATGAAGAACATTTAAGGAAGCAGGATGAGATTACCTTAGTGTTATACCACTCCAAATAAGGTACAGCAGATTTTGGGAAGAAGAATCAGCACCTCATGTGAAGAAAAAAAAACCCAAACAGATAGAAGTATCATTGCTGAAATGATTAAATTGTTGAGTGGCATAATGATTTGTAAGCTGAGTTCAAAGTTTAAAGAAACAACAGGAAGTTAAAACTGGTGTGAAAAATAACTGAGGCATTTTCTCGTTAATAAAAGGAGGAAGATGTCATTAAAATATAATTCAGATGTATAAACATTTTAAGATTACAGTTCTATACTCCAATGGCAGGGAATAATTAGAAATTCTAGAGAGGAAGACAAAAAGTCTCAGATAAGGTTTGGTAGTGATTAGAGTTTCTGTATAGGAAAGAGAAGTAAATCTGTTTTAAAGATGTCAAACAAAGGAGAGAATTTAAGTGGAGTGAACAAAAATTGGAGGTATAATTTAGATTTCTTACATGTGCACATCAAGTGTCCTTAAACTTTTTCAAAACTATAGGACATTTACAAAGAGATTTCTTTTTTTTACAAAATGAACATCTTTATATTTTATTCCTGAAAACATGTAGCTTCAAAAGTCAGACATTATGAAATAAAAAACCTGAATAATTCGAACATATATAAATTAACCAAGTATACAGAAAAAGAATAAATACTCTCCATATCATATTTGAGTCTAAAATGACCTCAACACCAAAATCTTTCTCTTAATGTAAAGACACACACACACAAAAAAAGTTGCCTGCCAAGTTCATTTACAAGCACAGATGACAAATCCTAAACAGTTGCATGATTAGCAACCAAATCCAACAATATGTAAATAGATAATACCTCTTGACCAAAGAATACAAGTACATGTCAACAACAAATGTTATTAATGTATCTCAATCCATGAATTTATTTTAAAAAGAAAATGATGTGACATTCTTTTACAGTAAAAATTTCATTTGTAAATTTAAAGTATACAATATATTATAAGATACATGTAGATAATAAAATGGTTACCAGAATGAAGAAAACTAACATATCCATAATCTCAAAGTTAGGCTTTTTTGTAGAAAGAGCAGCTAAAATTTACTCATTTAACAAAAACTTTAAATGCGACACAATATTATTAACTATAGCTCTTGTGTTATACATTAGATCTCTAGACTTGTTCCTCCTACATATCTGCTACTTCATATCCTTAAAAAGAGATTCCTGAAAAATACTTCAGAAGGCAAAAGACACCAACCACCTCACCAATAACACGAGATATAATTTCTTCTTACCAGGGAAGTTCTGATGTGGAAATTCTACTTCTAATATCCATGGCTCTTTCCCTTGCTTCAACTTGAAGATCGCATTTGGCTTATTCACACGATAACCTACGAATGGAAACAATAAAGGAAATGACACAAATTGCTTGGAGTTTAGAGAGTCTGAAAGGATAAGGAAGTACAATTTCAAGACAATGAAGTTTCTACTTAGGCTTAGCAAATTTAGATTCTTTCAGTGGAGAAGTAGGGACACAAGTATTTTTTCTAGTACCCAAACTGGATTCAGTAACTTTGACCTCTGAAACAAAACTAGTATTCAACCCTATAGAGACCTTTTACGTTCCAGCAACTGGGAAGGGAAATAAATGTAAACTACTAGGAATTACGTATGTGGAAGTTTTTCTCACCCACTGAAACCAGGTGCCTATAGTTTTCCAACATCACATCCTTGTACAGGGTCCTCTGAGCATGAGTCAGTAATTTCCATTCCTCTTTAGTGAATTCCACAATAACGTCCTTTAATGTCACTGGTCCCTGGAACAACATATTTCAGTTCAATCTGAAGTGACCAGATAGAGTACCATAGAAAATACACATGTGAACTAGCTCAATGTACTAAAATTTACTTTGGAAAGTTACAATTTTCTGTACTCTCTACCCTGCTTTATAAATTAATAAAATAGAGTGTGGGCTCGGTGGCTCAGCCTGTAATTCCAGCACTTTAGGAGTCCATGGGTTTGAGGCCAGCCCAGGCAACTTGGTGAGACCTCGTCTCTACTACAATAAATAAAAATTAGCCAGGCATGGTAGTGCGCACCTGTGGTTCCAGCTACTTGAAAGGCTGAGGCAGAAGGATCACCTGAGCCCAGCAGGTCAGTGCTGGGTGGCCATGAGTGTGCCACTGCACTCCAGTCTGGGCAACAGAGTAAGACTCCAACTCAAAATAAATAGATAGGTAGGTAGGTAGGTAGGTAGGTAGGTAGGTAGGTAGGTAGATAGATAGATAGATAGATAGATAGATAGATAGATAAAGTATTTGTTCAGTACATATTTATTGAGATTCTACTCTATGCCTGGAACTCTGCTGGAGATACAAAGGTGAATAAAAGAAACTCTACTCATGTGCCACATAATGATGTTTCAGTCAATGACTGACTACATATACAATAGCAGTCCTATAAGATAATACTGCATTTTTACTATACCTTTTCTATATTTAGATGCACAAATACCTAACATTTTGTTACAGTTGTCTACAGAGTTCAGTACAGTATCATCCTGTACAGGTGTATATCCTAGAAGCAATAGGCTATACCATGTAGATTAGGTATATAGTATTTGTGTAAGTACTGTATATTCTGTTATGTTCACATAGTGATGAAATCACCTATCAACAAATTTCTCAGAGGTATTCCCATTGCTAAAGGACACATGATAGTATAATAGTATTCCTATTATCAAGGAGTTTCTATTTTGACAGGGAGATAAAAAAATGAAAATGCTTAAATGCAATATATGCAACAGCTGCTATGACAGAAATATGTACATGATACAAGATGGTCACAGAAGGGGGCAGTTCTTTACATTTTGTACTATGATGTTAGATTTTATTATGTGGTCAAACCAACTAATGTGAACTTTAGGAATAAAGAAAACACAATTTGCAAAGGTATGGTGCATGAGAAATGGCAAGTTTAGCAAACCACAAATAACACAATAGGGCATAGGATCAACATTAGTTAGAAGCTTATAAGGTTAGGTGACAGAACATGAGGAAATTCTGAATTTGTCTTTTGGACCAGTAAATATATTTTGCATATACACTTAATAGATCTCTACTTATTAATATATTAAGTGCATTTACATCTATTAATCTGTTTGTTAACAATTAACAAGTTTTTTGTTTATATAAGAGAGAAATATGAATGCTTTCAGTAGTGGCCAGAGTCATATGACAATTATCTTCATTCTTTCATTTTTATTGATAGAGCTGTAGAGCTGTTTATAGCTATGAAATTTCCTCTAATCATTGCTTTATTTTCACCTGAAGAACATCTTGGCTGGATATAAATTCTTGGTTCAGACTTTTTTCTTGAATTGCTTTAAAACATTGTTCTACCACTTTTGTTTTATATATTTACACTGCTACTAAGAATTTTGTCAATTTCATTTTCCTTCCTTGCCAAATGACTTGGACTCTACTCTTGAGAACAAAGTAGTTTTTTCTTTACTTTAAAATAATGGTCATAGTATTATTAGAATCTCTCTTTGGGTTCACTATTCTGAGTTAATTCTCTCTGGCACAGAGGGGGGCCTTTTAAATATGTATATTCAGTTCTGCTATATGAAAGTTTCCTTGGACTATAGGTTTAGATATTAGTTTGCTTTCACTAGTTCTTGTTACTAGGGACTTCACTTTTTCTTCTGGTTCTATTAGTTGATGCATAAATTTGTAGCGTTTGTTTTTGGAATGGCAACACTCTTGTGTTGGGCATTTGTTACTCATTTGTCATTTGGAGTGAAGCTTTTGTGCATGTGAATACACCATGAATTTTGAAGATTTTAAGAAAGCTATTTGTGGGCTAAAGAAGACAGTGTCAAGTAGAAAAAATGAACACGTCTGACATATTCTTCTGTTTAACAGAAGAGTAAAGGCAGCAGAGGTGGTTCGAAACATTTGTGCCATGTACGGGGAGAATGTCATCAGGGAAAGCATGGCAAAAAAACCAAAAAAAAAAAAAACCTTTTGTCATTTGAAAGAGGACCACTTTGACCTGACTGTTTCTTCAAATTCAAGAAGACCACAGGGTTTTGATGAAGACCATTTAAATGCTTTAATCCACAATGATCCATGTCAGGCAAGCTAAGAATTGGCAAATGTGATGAACTGTGACCAGTGACCATCATGTGACATCTGCATTCCAAGGACAACGCTATGAACTTATACATCAGTCTAATGTTACTGTCTTCCTCATTTTTGTTGACTGTGTTTCTTTCCCCATGTTGGTCTCTTTTCACTCCTATCCTCCTGTATGTCAATTTTTGTACCTTTTCTCTTAGGTACATTGTAATTTAATAATTTGAGTTGAATTTCTGTTTTGTTATTTATTTCCTGAGTTAAATCACCTATTTCATATTTACTTGTTTTTCTATTTCTATTGTGAGTCTTTAATTTCTGGATTTTAAGGTTCCTTTCTATCTGAAATTACTTAATATTGGAAAATTGTGCTATAGTTTTCCTCTACTTGGTTTTTCTTCTGGAAAGACTACATGAATTGAAAAATTAATACTTTCTGCTTTCACTTATATTAGTATTATAAGTCTGTTGGGAAACTGATTTTATTAATGATCAAATAAAGATAAAACTGATATCTTGTAGTGGTTTTCTGGGCCAGGGTCAATTAAAATCATTTAAAAATAGAAACAATCCATAGCCATGAAAGGCACATGAAGCAATCTATGGATGGCACATGAGGCAAACTGAAGACCATTTAAAATATCTAGAAAGGAGAATGTAGAGGATGATACTAGGGAGAATAAGGTCTTTGATGGACAATCACACACAAACAGGGGAATCTAGAGAGCCTAGAGAGCAGTGTGCATGCTCATAGCTGGACACATGGTCAAAAATACTTGAGAGGACATTTGTAATGTACCTCTGGCTAATTTTAGGACTCTGCACAAGAAACAGGTAAAGGCTAAGACAAAGGTGTAAGCAGCATGGTTATGTATTGAAGGGGTGTCCCAGCTCAGGGCCAATCTGCAAAGGTTGGGCAAGTATTTGATTTTTCTTTCTGGTTCCAGAAATTTAAGGAAACCTCTGTCAGATCAATGGCTGACCACCAAGATAACAGAACAGAGATAACAGTGACCACACATGACAAGAGATACAGGTTTTGAAAAATAGATTGGAAAAGTAACTAAACAAATGAACAGCTGCAATCTTCAGTAAGAATCAACAGCAAACTCTGGGAAGGGGGAATAATCTGATTTCCAGAATAACCACAGTACAATGTTCAAAATACTGAGGCTTTAACAACTACAACAAAATTACAAGGCATACAAAGAAACAGGTAAGTATGAAACAGTTATGGGAAAAAAATAAATGGACAGGAATAGTCCTTGAGGTAGTGCAGATATTGGACTTACTAGACAAACAATTAAATCAATTGTTTTAAGAATGCTCAAAGAGCTAGAGGAAATCATGAGCAAAGAATTAAAGGAGACTAGGAAAGTGATGTATAAATAAAGAAAATAATCAATAAAGAGATAGAAGTTATAAAAAAGAACCCAAAAGAAACTGTAGAGTTCAACGGTAAAAAACGTAAAATTAAAAATTCACCACAGAAGATCAACAGCAGATTTGAAAAGGTACAGGAAAGAATCTGCAAAATTGAAGATCAAACCATTAAAATGATCCAGTCTCAGGAGCAGAAAGAAATGAAAAAAGAGAAACAAAGCTAACAGACCTGTGGGATACTATCAATCATAATAGAGCCTAATAGACCTGTGAAACACCATTAAGCATATCAACATAAGAAAAATGGAAGTCCCAAAGGAGAAAAGATAAGGAAAATAATGGAAAAAATGACCCCAAACTTCCCAAATTTGATGCAAGACAGAAATCTACACATTCAAGAAGTTAAATATAAACTCCAAGTAGAGTAGTAAACTAAAAAGATCTACAGTGAAACACATAACCAAGTTGCCAAAAGTCAGACAAAGACTCTTGAAAGCAGCAAGAGAGAAGCCACTCAACATGTGCAAAGAATCCCCATTAAGAATAAAGCACATTTCTCAACAGAAACCATGAAGATCAGAAGGCGATGTAATGACATTAATCTAAGAGTGCTAGAAGAAAAAAAGGAGAGGCAGGATTGGCAGGTGAGGGAAACTGCTAGGGGAGGGAGGGGCACACCTCATCAACCAAGGTACCTGCATAATCAACATTTGTATACCTAACCCTGAATTGTACTCCACATCTTCATAATATAAATAAATATGTACATAAAATTTATATATATAAAAATTTAAAAAGAAAGAAAAAAATCTGGCAACCAAGATTTATATATCCAGAAAGACTATCCTTCACTAATACAGAAGAAATTAAGGTATTCCAACATAAAAGCTAAAGGAGTTTGTTACTAGCAGACCTGCCTTACAAGTAATGTTAAAAGGAGTCCTTCAGCATGAAATGAAAGGATACTAGGCAGCAATTCAAAGCCATATGAAGATATAAAGAATACAGGTAAAGGTAATTATATAGGAAAATATAAAAGCCTATATTGTAATATTTTTGATAACTTTTTGTTCCCTATATGACTTAAAAGACAAAGGCATAAAATAATAACTAAAAATATATGTTAATAGGCACATGAAATACAAAAAATATAATTTGTGACAAAACAACATAAAGCAAGGAGAAACAGAACTATAAATCAGCAGTTTTTGTATGCTACTGAAGCTAAGTTGGTATCAATTCAAATGATTGTTATAAATTAGGGATGTTAATTGTACTAAAATCAACTACAATT